TGTGGAGTTTCAAAAAAAAGCCATATAATACATTTTCCCCCCTTTACTGTGTATTAGCCTTGTAAGTCAGAACATCAGCGGCGCAACGTAGGAACTGCGAGCCAGTTTAACAGGATAAATAAAAGGGCCAAAGGCGTAAGCACTGTCAATGCACTTCTTATAAGTGTAACATTTCAATTTCACATCCTGCCACACTGTTCTAAATGGAAATCCGGCAAATGTTTTTGAGAGCTCACAGCGAAGGATAAAGACTACAAATATTACTAAATATATCATGTAAATAGGCAGTCACACGTTGCATTGTCAGGCTCATGAAAAATACTATTGATCTGTGACTGTTAGATATTTAAATAGTGATTGGTTAATCGGGTGCAGGTAATCATATTTTTATTTTTTCAATATTATTATTATACAGGATTTATATAGCGCCAACAGTTTGTGCAGCACTTTACAATGTAAGGAAGACATTACAATTACAATAAAATTCAAGACAAGATGGGAAAGAGGGCCTTGCAATACACAAAGCATATTGCTATTTAGGATTTTGCATCTAGCACCCATTCACACCTGGGCGTTTTGTTGCGCGTTTCCCGAAGTGCGACAACGCTCAGCATGAAGAATCTGATTATTTTCAATGGCATCTGTTCACACCTAAGCATTTGGTCGCCTGCTTCCCAAATTGCGGCAATACTCCGCATTATGTGATGTGTCACCTGCACTCCTTCCAGCGATTGGACCTTGATTCAGGTGCGTCACTAGAAATCACAGGGCCCCATAGCAAAATGTTGTATGGGGCCCTGTGATTTCTAGTTACGCCCGCCTGATAACCCAAACCGCCCACCTGAGAGTGACCCTGCCGAGCCGACCATAGACTCTCTGTGGTGGGCTTTGCAGGGTCTCAGGTGGGCTGGTCAAACCCTCTTACCTGTCAGCCCCGATACTCTGTCTGCCTCCTCCTCCTGCACGGTCGCTGGTGGGTCACACCTCCTCCATCACTGGGCCCCACCTCCTCCATCGCCTGGCCCCGCCTCCTCCGTCATCTGGTCCCGCCTCCTCCATCGCTGCCGACGACGGGCCCGCAGCTGCTGGTTGTCACTGACTCAGCAGCGGCTGTGAGGAGGAACGCGCCGCTGCACACATCACTGACAGGTGATGTATTTCGTTTGATGAAACTAATGAAAACATTTATAGTTTTCTTTCATTTAGTCCGAAACAAATTTTTAGTCTTTGCATATGTCTAATAATGTGTGTGGTGTTTTTGTATTATTTATTTTTTATTATTATTATATTATATTTTTACTGTTGGGGGGCTGTCAAGGGGGGCAAGAAGGCCCTGGCTGCACCCCCTCTCAGCTGCGCCTGAGGTGAGTGCCTCACTCGCCCCATGGTAGCTACAGCCCTGGGGGGATATCCTGGCCGGGCCCCCCTGTGCCCTGTAGCGGCCACCTGGGTCGCTATGGCGTTTGTTCCGCCACTGCCTTGATTAATAGTCATGGTGCTTGTAGTGATTACACGGAGGGCGCTGTTTTGTCGCCTTGAAGAAGGGACCCTGCGTGGCCCCGAAACGTTGGCTTATTGATGCTTGTGACATGTTTCTTCAATAAATAAGCAAAAGAATTGAGTGCTTTTGACTGAGTGCTGGTGATCTCCATCTTCTACAATGCTCAGCATAAGGAATCTGATTATTTTCAATGGTGTCTGTTCACACCTGAGTGTTTGGTTGTGCGTTTCCTGAAGTGCGACAACGCTTATTGTGAAGAATCCGATTATTTTCAAAGGTGGCCGTTCACACCTGAGTGTTGTGTAAGTCCCAATATATCCTGTACAGATGAGGCTTGCAGTTCCAGCATATCTAAAGAGAACGCTATATGTGCCCTTCCATGACAGTCAATAGGTTCAATTTATTTTTAACTGCATATTTCATTCATTAGATTTTTATTATTATTATTGTTATAATTTTATTTTTATTATTGTTATATGTATTATTATTGTTGTTATTATTATTGTTGTTATTGTTATTATTATTATTGTTATTATTATTATTGTTGTTATTGTTATTATTGTTGTTATTAATATTATTATTATTATGATTATTATTATTTATTTATTTTAACTGGGTTTTGGGGTTATTAGGCTTGTGCTTATTTTAAACAGCCAATCAGGTTGGCAGGCATTGTATTTTTTCCATAGTAAATAATAGGGTTATCAGTCTAGACTGGAGTAAAAAATACATTTGAAAACATTGCACCATAATTTGGCAAGTGAAAAACCAAATTGCAAGCTCTTTACCGAATCTGTACAAATCCAATACAATTGTGGAGCAATCCCTCTGTATTTAATGGACTGTAACTCTAACGTTGCAGAGCTTGGATACTAGATTCGACTCGCGCAGAACGGGGTCTGCGTAAAATTCATGTGTCTGGATGGCTTCTCTCTATATGTTACAGTATATTCTCAAGCTGGCCCTTGTGTGTGTATGGGGAGAGGTACTGATGTGCAATGTCTCTCTCTATGTTCCTATAGAATTTGTCAGATGAACACATTCACTGGTGTGATTACACATATTAAACATTCACTGGTGTGATTACATATATTAAACATTCACTGGTGTGAATACACATATTAAACATTCACTGGTGTGATTACACGTATTAAACTTTGCAGCCAATCACCTTCAATACTCATTTATTTATTCAGCATCCTTTCTGAGACCACACTTCAAAATTGTATCTCATTGTATTTCATTCATCTGAATGTAACGCTTCTACTTTTCAACACATGGTTAACACGAAGGCCTCTTTGTCATTGTGTCATTGAAGGGTTTGTTTTTTTTTCCTTGTCGCCATTATGTATTAAATAGTTAAATGTGAAAGTGCAAAGGGCAGAGCAAAGCCTGATCAGATTACAGAGAGGGGGCAGACAGGCCGAGGGTGGGAGAGGCTCCCAAACCCCAATACTGGATCAGCCAGGCAGTAATTATACCCTTCTCACACAGCCATCTACATTCTACAGCAAGGCTACTCCACAGCTACAAAGAGCTATACTGTACAGACACCTAGCTGTCACATTGTATATAGAACATGCAGACCTATGGCTGACGTGTGCGCCGCTCAAATAGTGGAGGGAAACTTGTGTAAAGTGGATCAACTCAGGGTGGCCTTATGTACAGAGGCTGAATTACTAAAGGAGTCGAGAATATTCACACAATAAACCGAGGATTGCTTTTCATATGATGGAAAATTGAAGTAATTTGTCACTCTTTTTTTAGTGAGCATTCTCAACTCCTTTAGTAAATCAGCCTCATAATGTGTGTCTGTACAAGTGTTCTCTTTACATCTCAATTTCTCTCTCTCCTCTCTCTTTCCCCTTCTCTGCTCCTTTCCCCCTCTCCGCTCCCTTTCCCCCTCTCTCCACTGTATCTCTCCTTCTCCTCTATCCCTTTGCTTTCTTCTGTCTCTCTCCCCTATCTCTCTCCTCTGTATCTACCCTCTCTCCTTTCTCTCTCTTTTTCCTACTCCCTGTGTCCTCTGTCTCCCTCTCTCCTACTCTCTTTTCTCTGTCTCCCTCTCTTTTCTCTGCCTCCCTCTCTCCTACTCTCTCTTTCATCTGTCCCCCTCTCTCCTACTCTCTCTCTTTCCTGTCTCCTTCTCTCTCTCTCCCACTCTCTCTTTCCTCTAAATCCCTCTCTCTTCTCCTGTCTCCCTCTACCCTACTCTTTCTTCTGACACCCTCTCTCTCTTTCTTGTCCCCCTCTTGTCTCTCTCATGTCTCTCTCTTTCTTATCTCTCTTTCCTCTGTCTCCCTCTCTACTCTCTCTCTGTCTTGTCTCTCTCTAACCTTTCTTCTCTTTCCTCTGTCTTCTCTCTTTTTTTCTTGTCTCTGTCTCTCCTATGTCTCCTTTTCTCTCTCCCCTGTGTTTGCACTCTTCTCTGTCTCTCTCTTACTCTCCCCTGTCTTCTCTCTCTCACACACTCTTCTCTCTCTCTCTTTCCTCTGTTTCTCTGTGTGTCTCTTTCCTCTGTCTCTCTCTCCTATGTCTCCTTTTCTCTCTGCCATCTTCGCTCTCTCTGTTTGCACTCTTCTCTCTCCTCTGTCTCTCCGGTAACTTTATATAAGTTTATATTAACAATGTCCCCCGCCTCCCGGCCAGTCTACAATGGCAAGCAGAGCCCCCTATACCAGTGACAGTGTAGAAGTTTTTCCATGCACCGTACACACTGACTTCTCCCCATAGCACGGAACAGCCTCCCTCCCATCCCATCGCCGGGGATCGTTGCTCTCAGCAGACGTGCCTCGCTCCTCTATTGTTATTAAACAGACCGGAGACAGACTACGAAGTGCAGAAAGTAGATGCAACGCAAGCCACCCGCAACGGACAGGATGGGTTACATCCCCCCGAATCCAGGATTAACCTTGTGGACGCCGAAGCAGACAGATCCAGAAAAAGGGAGGATTAGGAAGAGCAGGCAAGGGAACGAGAGAGGAGACTGAAGGAGGCTGCAGCGAGCCCTCCTCCCCCCTCCTTCTTCCAGAGCCCGGGTACCACCGCCCCGGCAAGGGTTAACCCAGGTTCAGTCCCAGCTGACAGTCAGCTGATCGGCCCGTGATTGACAGCTCCCCTCCTCGAAGTTTATATATACTATTATGCTAATGAGGCCAGGGGATCCGTCCTCCCATTGGCCCGCCGTCCCCAGTCCATTTGCCATTCGGAGCGTGACGTCAGAGCGGCTATAAAACTCAGCAATGCTTTTAAAGTGCTCCGCGGAATGATCGTAGAAAAAATCCTGAGAGTTTGGCGGTGCTGCCCCTCGTCCTGGCCGCTGCCGCCGCCGCTCTTTTCTGGGACTTCTCTTGGTGATGAAGTGTTAAAAGACAGAAAGTAGTTGGTGCCGAACCCGAAAGAGACCCAAATAAAAGCAGAGAGAGACGCTGGGATGTCTGAGAGCGCCAGGATCGGCGCTTGGGTGCTCTGATCGCTCTCATTTCTATCTTCTCTGAATTTTGGGGGAGACGATCACCCACAAGCTGGCTCACCCCGTCCCTGGTCACAGCAGCAGCAGCATCAGCAGCAGCCTGGTGTCCCCTCTGCCACCCCCGTGGAGGACTGGGAACAGCAGAAGGATGGCATCAGAACTGGCAATGAGCAGCTCCGACCTGCCCACCAGTCCCCTGGCCATGGAATATGTTAATGACTTCGATCTGATGAAGTTCGAAGTGAAAAAGGAGCCGGTGGAGACCGACCGCATCATCAGCCAGTGCGGCCGCCTGATCGCCGGGGGATCGCTGTCTTCCACCCCGATGAGCACGCCCTGCAGCTCGGTGCCCCCTTCCCCGAGCTTCTCGGCGCCCAGCCCGAGCTCCGGCAGCGACCAGAAGAGCCACCTGGAAGACTACTACTGGATGACCGGCTACCCCCAGCAGATCAACCCGGAGGCTTTGGGGTTCAGCCCGGAGGACGCCGTGGAAGCGCTGATCAGCAGCAACACCCAGCAGCAGCAACAACAGCAGCAGCAGCTCCAGGGCTACGATGGCTTCGCCCGGGGGCAGCAGTACGGCTCTTCGGGGGCCATGCCCGGGGAAGAGCTGGGCTCAGCCGCCGCGGTGGTCTCCGCAGTGATCGCAGCCGCCCAGAACGGGGCACCCCATCACCACCACCATCACCACCACCTCCCCGGGGGTCACGGCGCAGGGGGAGGTGGGGTGCAGCTATCTCCCGGGGGAGGCGGCGGCAGCGGAGTGTCCCCGTCTTCCTCCGGGCTGCACCAGCCGCCCCACCACCATCACCACCACCATCACCACCTGCACTTCGACGATCGCTTCTCCGACGAGCAGCTGGTCACCATGTCCGTGCGGGAGCTCAACCGGCAGCTCCGGGGGGTGAGCAAGGAGGAGGTGATCCGGCTGAAGCAGAAGAGGAGGACCCTGAAGAACCGGGGCTATGCCCAGTCCTGCCGCTTCAAGAGGGTGCAGCAGAGGCACGTCCTGGAGTCCGAGAAGAACCAGCTGCTGCAGCAAGTGGAGCACCTCAAGCAGGAGATCTCCAGGCTGCTCCGGGAGAGGGACGCCTACAAGGAAAAGTACGAGAAGCTCTTGGGAAGCGGCTTCCGAGAAAACGGCTCCAGCAACAGTGAAAACCCCTCCTCACCGGAATATTTCATGTGAGTTTCACCCCCGAGCCTTTCCCTTCTCTCCCAATGCCATGCCAACACTTTTCTGGGACCTTTACTAAACCATATCATGCCCACATGGTACCCATGATGTGTTAAGTCTTAGTCTCTTGGGTTCATCATTTCTCTTTCAACCTTCCTAGAAGCTCATCCTGCCCTCTTCTGCTATACCCATTGGGGTGAGGGACCTTTACTAAACCATTCCATGCCCACATGGTACCCATTGCAGTGAGGGACCTTTACTAAACCATTCCATGCCCACATGGTACCCATTGCAGTGAGGGACCTTTACTAAACCATTCCATGCCCACATGGTACCCTTGATGTGCTAAGTCTTAGTCTCTTGGGGCCATCATTGCTTATTTTTCCTCCACTCTTCCTAGAAACCCATCCTGACCTTTTCTACTATGCCATTGGGGTGTGGGACCTTTACTAAACTATTCCATGCCCACATAGTACTCATTGGGGTGAGGGACCTTTATTAAACGATTCCATGCCCACCTGGTACCCATGCTGTGTTAAGTCTTAGTCCCTTGGGTTCATCATTTCTTATTTCTCCTTCACTCTTCCTAGAAACTCACCCTGCCCTTTTTTACTATACCCATTGGGGTGAGGGATCTTTACTAAACCATTCCAAGGACACATGGTACCCATTGGGGTAAATAACCTTTATTAAACCATATTATGCCCTTAAGGTACCCATGCTGTGTTAAGTCTTAGCCTCTTGGGTTCATCATTTCTTATTTCTCATTCACTCTTCCTAGAAACCCATCCTGCCATTTTCTACTATACCTATTGGGGTGAGGGACCTTTACTAAACCATATCATGCCCACATAGTACCCATTGGGGTGAGGGACCTTTACCAAACCATATCATGTCCACATGGTACCCATGGTGTGTTAACTCTTAGTCTCTTGGGTTTATCATTTCCTATTTCTCCTTCACTCTTCCTAGAAACTCACCCTGTCCTCTTCTACTATAGCCTTTGAGGTGTGGGACCGTACTAAGCCATCCCATGCCCACATGGTCCCCATGCTGTGTTAACTCTTAGATTCTTGGGTTGACCATTTCTTATTTCTCCTTCACTCTTCATAGAGACTCATTCTGCCCTTTTCTACATACCCTTTGAGGTGTGGGACCTTGCTAAACCATTCCATGCCCACATGATACCCATGCTGTATTAACTCTTAGTCTCCTGGGCTGAGCACATTTTATTACTCCTTCACTTTGGCTAGAAACTCAGTCTTCCCTCTTGGGTGTGAGATTAAAACCTCCCTTGCCCACATAGTGCCCATTCTGTATTAACCCCTAGCCTATTGAGGTGACTACATGTTAGTTCTCCTGTCACTCTGGTTTAAACTCTCTTCCACACTAACCATAGAGGTGAGAAACCCCTATTAAACCCTTCCTTGTCCACGTTATGCCCCTATTGTATTAACTCTGTATGTTCAGGGACTCTTCTTTTTCACATCTCATTTCCTCTTCACCCTGGCTAGAAACTTAGCCTGCCCTCTTCTACTATAGCTAGTTGGGTGTGGGACACGTACTAATCTCTTCCTTGTCCACATGGTGCCCCTGTTGTATTAACTGTCTATGTTCAGAGACTGTTCTCTGGACAGATATTTCATATCATATGCAGATATTGTCCATATATTTTGCATGTTATTTCCTTTTCACTCTGACTAGAAACTTCTCCTGCCCTCTCCCACTCTACCCATAGGGGTGTGCGACCTTATTAAACCCTTCCTGGTCCACATGCTGTATTAACTCTTCATGTCCAAAATACTTAGGGTCGACTGCATCTTATTCTCTCTTCACCTTGGCTAGAAACTCATCCTGCCCCCATAACCTGTGCCCTCTTTAACGTCTAAAGGTACCCACACCCCACATTATAATGACAACAGTCCGTTTTCTACCATTTTCTCTTATTTCTGTTCTGCATTGCTTCACCTTGCTCCTTCTTGTATTTCTTTATCTTGCATGCCCATATTTTAGAATCACAGCTAAGTTTTGGTGCACTTTGAAAAGTTGGAAGGACTTATTTTAACATAGCAGCCAGTTCTAGACAGTTGCCAGCTGACTTTCCAGGGACAGTCCTAAGTCTTTTATTTCCAGGGGCAGTTTAAGGTTATGATCTGTCCTTGCAGACTGCGGTCCCTAGCTTTCATGACTGGGAAGCTGCATAGAGATATTTATCAATGAGAAGTTATTATTTAATGTCAGGCAGTGTTTAGAACGCACTCATGCCTGGATAGTTTAACTTTATTTAGTGTAATAGATGGGTGTCTAGGTGTTCTCTTTGAGACAGTGCTATCCACGCTGGCACTAGCCTAATGCCAGTGTGTCCCTGTAATTTATTTTAAACTGTTGGTTCCTGTGCTCTAGTTTTCAGGAAGGTGGCAGGGACAGTTAACACATTGATCTTTGCCTATTATAATGTAGCAGGTACACTTAATAGTCTATTCATTATTATTATTCTCCCTACTTTTTATAAGTAAATAACCTACACTAGCCAGTTCTACACATTTACACACGAGGCGAGAGGAGTTAAGAAGTTGGCTACTCACAAACATAAGACAGCAGTCTGAAAAAACTTGTGACCTTGAGTCACTCTGTCATTTGTCTACAGAAAAATTGCATTTTATAAGAAACAGACCAATATTGGCCAAAAAAATTATAATTTTTCAACTGTTTTCCGTTAAGCGAACAAGCTTTTTTCCATCTTAAGACAATCCGATAATCGCACACAATACACCTATGCAGTTCCTGTACCTGGAAGCACCTTCTCGGTATTTACTGTCACTGTCATGTGTGTATTCTGCGAATGTGCAATTTTCTCCATTCAGGAAGTCATTAGTGTCAGTCGAAAAAAAAAATGTTTGTATGAGACTCTATCACAGAGGAAGCAGCCACAAGCCTGGCGACTGCTGACTTTTGTTAACGAGTAGCCTTAGTTTGGAGGACTTTTACCCGAGCAACCAGCCCATATAAGATAGATATCAATCTTAACTGCTTCAGTGAGCTGTAATGAAATCTTTAATTGCTCATATTAAACCTGCATCACAGGCTAGACGCTTGGCAGTGGACAAATTTAAGCAATGCTATTACCTTGGCATGCTTTATGTCCCATATATCATGGCAATATTGTATCAGTTGTGCAAAAAAAGAATCTGTATTGAGGATTTGTGCCACTTCTTTGGTTTGTTTGAATTGGCATAGAGATAACAGTGTGTAAACTTGTAGAAACTTTGAAGTGTTTACAGTTAGCATGTCTGTAGTACTTTTATTTCCTATAATTCTGGGACAATGGGAGGGTTTCTATGAGGGGTTTCTTTGCTGCTTTCTTTCCATGTTTTTCTGGGCTTAAAATTACTCTTTAATATCATCCCCTTTACGTTTCCTATTTTGTTTTTAAGGTCATGAGTTTATGAGCTTGCTGTGTCAAAGACAGAAAGAAAGAGAAAAAGCAGAATTGTTGCCATCCTGAGTCCTTCATATGAGCTTGCAATAAAAAAAAAAAAATGTGAATTTTTAGACTGTCTCGCTGAATTCATCATTTTGTGAGTTGCTGACCTAAAACAAATTTTAAAAAAATAAGAGGAGATGACGTGTAAAGCAACCTGCCAAAATGAAGCCTTCATCTAAACTTCAGTTTTTCATGTGACTGTATGGCCCAGAATGACTGAAACTGGCCTGCCATTAAACTCCATGCTCATCTCATGCATTGTGCTTGCTGTTATGTCTTGGCAACAAAGAACTGTAAATGTCATAAGACTTTATGGAAAAAAATAGACAATATATTATTAAGAAGGCCCTGCATGCTGGACATGTATGGTATAATTATTATTTTTTTGTTTTTTTTTTTGTTTTGCTTGGAAAATGGACTTCTTGGACAAAATATGGCATGACATCCATTATTATTATTATTTTTTTTTTTGTTACTCATCACTTCTTTGCGTTAAAGACAAAAAAAAAAGTGCAATCTAGATCTTCCCTTAACGTTTGCATCTGCTACAGAAAAAAAAACAATGCTTTTTTTGTTTTAATTTTGCGTATATGCAAAATGTTTTTGTTATTATTTTTAAAATGCACTGATTGCTTTTCCTCCAAAAGATGGCAAAATGGATTTTTCATATTTAAATGTGGCAAAATTTAGAAATATAAGCAATTTTGATTAACTTGAGTTGGGACTAAATGCTGTGAGCTAATGACGGTCTTAAATTTTATTTAAAAAGAAAGAATTGCCCCCTTTTTTTGGCATTTAGTTGCTGTCAAATGTGGAATGCTATGGGTTTATAGTACACTTTTTATATGTTTATTGTCCATAGAATTTGTGAGCGCTTCGTAAATGTTTGCAACAGATAAACAAATGTCTTAGTTTTAATGGAACAAGTTAGACCCATTTTAGATGTAGTATATTTTACTGATGATGCACTAAGTTGTTCACTGTCATGACGTTGAAAGGGGGTTAGGAACGAGACTATTTTGAAAGGTAGTTTTCAACGCATGTGATTGCAACTTAAATTTAAGTTGGGTATGTGTAAAAAAAAAAAACCCATGCTTTACCACTGACTGTATTTGAAAACCAAAGTATTAAAAGGGTAGGTAGTCTTATGTATATCCAAGAGGTAGATGCATTCAAAAGTGTCTGTTTTTTTTTTTTATTATTATTATTATTATTTTTTTTTTGAGTTACAAAAAAAAAAAAAAAAAAAAAACCATGGCATTACTGCACACTTTTTAAAACAATGCAGATTGTCCTTTTTTTTTTATTATTTACAGTTTAATATTGTGGTGCAGAACTGGATCTTCTGTAGCTTCACAAATTTCACTCTTTTTCAAGTCTTAAATGCAATAACCAGGAAAATGTATTATCAGGGACTGATAACATATGTCTTTCTACAAATGAACGTAAACTTATCCATAATAGATAGAAATCCTTGTCAGCTATATAATGTTATTTGTTTTTTGTTTTTTTTTCCTATCCATATTTTGCTGTGCAAAATTTTTTTTTATATTTTGAGTTACTAACGATACGTGTTGTATTTTGTGCTCTGTCATTTCACGTCCTATGGTCATATCAAAAGGAAAAAAAAAATAATCTACAATAATAAACTGCAGTTTTTGATTCTGTGTTTGCTTGGAGGTATGATTTTAAAGAAAGAGGAAACTGTTTATTTATTTATTTATTTTTTTATAAATGATTTGCACGAGGCAAGGGTGTGCAGAAAAAAAAGCCCAAATATGTGTTAATTTAGCCATAATTTTGGGGTAGTCTTGTGAGCAGCCAACACATTTTGACCTGTAGTCTATAAGCTCTCTATATACATTTCTTAATTTGATGTATGTTACCTGTTTTAGTTCCTTTACTCTTTTGTCCTTTAAATATGATCTCCCCACTCAGACTTCATCATGTATAATAACTCTTTCCACCTCTCTGCAATGTCATTGTCAGTTTCAAGCCTTGCCTGACTGCTTCAGGACAATCCTTACTAAATCAGCCCACACATGCATTGAAATTAGTTTGTATTGCTTAGCAAGTGTCCTTTGCATTAATACTATTATTAATATTATTATTTTATTTTTATTTATTTTTTGTTGAAAGCCAATGTGCCTTACAGAGGATGGTGACAATATCTGTAGGCAGAGCGTGCTGTTAGGCGCCGAATATGCAGCGACAAACTTTGAAAGGAAGTCTAATGGCAGCCGTAATTAGTGTCATGATCACATATCAATCTACTGACGTAAGGTACCTTGTTCCAGACATCTTCGTCAGTGTATGCAGTATAGGTATATGATTTATTCTCACAGATAGGATGACCTTAACTATGTTAACACAGTGGTATATATATATATATTGTATTTATTTATTTTTTTTTAACTATGATCACATTTCCCCTAAGACACACCACCAAACAGCGAACTAAAATTGCCATTGGCTTTCTAATCACCGAACTATCGCCCTTTGACATCTAACCTTTTGTGTGATGCTGCTGTTTGGATAATGATTACAGACCGGTATTTCGGTTTATTTAGGTTCATATTCTAGTTAATCTGTAGTCAAAGCGTGAGCAAAGATGGATTTGGAAGATTTTGTTGTGCAGAAATAACCTGCCGCCCCCTATAACATGTAAAAAGTAATTCCCCTATATTTAATCCCATCATAAATCAGGTATTGGCTTGTTTGGAAGCTCATGCTACACTGTCGCGTGCTGTCTCCTGCACACACATATATATAGCTTGGCCTATGTGCTGCACGTTGATCCTGCAGCCGATGGATTCGCTGCTTGTGCTTTTGCACCGGCTGCGGAAGTGTTAAATGTTCTACTGAAGCTTCTGTGCAGTGATAAGTTTGGAGGACACAGTCAGTGAAGTGGGTGGACTGGACAGCTATCTAGCAGAGCAGTGCAATTTTAGAACTGAACGGGGAGGTTGTTAACCCCTGGCTTGCCAAAATCCTGACAGATCCCACCATACGCTTAGCAATGGTGCTTTAAAGTTATACAAATTTAGGCAATCTAAACCGTGCAGTGATTTAAGATGAGGGGGGAGGTGGGTAAATAATTTCAGCAAACATCTGTCCCTTTAGACATAAGCTGTGATTATTTTCCTCCCCTGGCTAGCTGTTATCTTGAATACATAAAGTTGCAAAATATGTTCCTATAACCTTCATGTTTTCTTTTGGTTAACCCTTGAAAGGCTTTTTTTTTTTGTTTTAAATGTGGAAATACTCTAAAAATAATCAGTTGCCGAGCTTTAGGAAATAAGTAGCATAATCGTTAGTCAATACATGTGATGCATCTTGCAGAGCAGGGCTACCAAGTGCTGTATGAGCACAGCCTTGGTCAGAGATGTCCGTGTTGATCTATGGGACTGTTGGAAGTGCAGGCTGAATGACTGAAATCAGCTTCACTGAATAAATTACGTAGCCCTATAGGGAATCTATATGCAGCATTTGGCAATGTGCATGCTTTGTTATTATTTGCAAAAGGGGAAAGGCATACACTACACACTTGCCTCACCCAATATGAACCTGCTATCATCCCATACCAATTGTATACAGTGCCTGCTGTGATACATGATCTGCAAGCTTATATATGCACATATGTGTTATGAATTATTTATGCTTTTTTTGCCATAGTTCCCAATCATACGGCACGCCTCAGTGACAGAAGCTTGTTTAAGAAGTACACTGACAAATAAAATGAACATGTTTAGTGTCATGCACGCCCACACGATCCACTGCGGGATTTATGATTTTCAGCAATCAAATTAGGATTTACATGTTTGACGCTGTCTGCTTGGGTAGAAAGCATGAGATTAATCTTGTTGTTGGTTCGTTTTATAAATTGAAATACTATCAGGTTTTAAATAATCAGTATAAAAAATGGACGCCTTTAAAAGTGGGCTATTGAATTCAAGCTCTGCACTCCTGCGAAACAAAACTTTATTTGTAACATTAACAAAGATTGCAGTTCTTTTAGCATATTATCAGTATTCAGTACAATCAGAGGTAAAAAAAATAAGAGATGTCAGGCACTGATGGCTCTGGAAGGGCCTGTTGTGAGGTTCAGGTTTAAGAACAGTGTTCATGATCTATTTAACATGAATGAGAAATGATAACCCGATATATATATAACAGAGTTTTTTTTTTTAAAAGCAAAAAATACATTCTTGTTGGTGTTTTTCAAGCACAAGCCCGCCTTTTCGAAAACCTCCATCAAGACATCTGTTACTTTGCCGCTATACGATGTCTGTAGCAACTCCGCATTTCAAATCGTACCATTCATAATATTTGGGAAAATATATCCTTGGACGCGAAAGCTGTATCAAATATTCCTGACTTCCTGCTCTGACTTCGTGAATTATGTATAGGGTACATTAGAATGATCTTTTCAGATGCACAGATTGCTCTCTGCGTAGCTGTGTAATTTAAAAAAAAAAAAGAAATCCATTTTTGTAAATAAAATAACTAACACGGTTAATTTAAAGTCCCGTTAAGCAACACCTGCTTAGGAGCCATGGAGATCAGCCAAACTTATGGCAGTAAAATAACCTTTTTGTATTTATTTTCCGTAAAATAACTCACCATTTGAAACAGACATATTTTAAGACTCTGCAGCTGTTGTAAAACAGTTTAACAGATTAGAAAAAAATTTACTTTTTTTTTGGGAGGCAAAATTCTCGACATCTGACAGCTTGACATGCCAGCCCAAATTTTCATGTACCCTAACTAACTGTATTTTTCCGATTTGATTTCAGTATTATTTTTTTCGGTGGGGTGGGGGGGGGTTTATTAGGAATTTGTACAGATGATGTTTTTTTAGCTTGGACGTGTGCTTCTGAAAAATGATTTTATTATTCATAACCGTTAGTCTGTTTGGTAAACAATTGGATGTATTTACTAACTGAATTATATAATGGCAACTTTGTGAAATATTATATAACAACTACTAATATAATAATAGTAACAATATAATTTCACAAACATGAAAAAATCCTAACTACAATTTCCCCAGTTTATGTTTTATTATTTATTTAGCTCTCTCTCGTTCTCTCTCTCTCTCGCTCTCTCTCTCTCGCTCTCTCTCTCGTTCTCTCGCTCTCTCTCTCTCGTTCTCTCGCTCTCTCTCTCTCGTTCTCTCGCTCTCTCTCTCTCTCTTTCTCTCTCTCTCTCTCTCGTTCTCTCTCTCTCTCGCTCTCT